TGGGTTTCCAGGAGTTCGAGGGATGAGTCTGGGCTGTAAGTTATCAGCATGCAGGACTTGGTGGTGGTCTTGGGGAGGAAAGTTTCAGTGGAATGGTGGGGACAAAAGCTTGATTCCAGTGCACTGAGGAGTGGTAAGTGCAGGGCTGCTGGCTTGCACAACTGCAGAGGGCAACATTCATCTATTATAGAATACAATTTGGGTGGCATCCCCTGGAGTTGTACACCACAGCAGAAGTGGTTGGAAGCAGAGACAGTAAATGTAGACTGCTCTTTCAAAAAGCTGATTGTGAAGGGAGAGAGGGAATGAGGTGCTGGCCAGGACATCTCCAGAACTCTTGGCTTTTCTTCTTCAAGGAGCCCTCCCTGAACCCCCAGCCTGGGTCAAATGCCCCTCTGACATGCTCTGTAGACCCTTGTGCACATCTCTGTCATGGTGCAAACAGCAGATGCCTCTTATGCCCCACCTCACGTCTTTTCAGCCCCACCTGATTCTAGCGAGTGGGCTCCAACGTGCTTTGTGTTGACACCGTCTCATCTTAATCGCACATTTGCTTTCTCCCTGGGTTCCTCCTGTCGTGTGGGAGCCCAAGCAGCCTCGTGCACCAGCAGCTTGAAAGAGCAGGGGAGATAACACCTCTGGGGGAATCCTCAACTAGAGGGTTTCAGGAGCCGATGGATCAATGCTTCTCCCTGTCAAAGCACAGGGGGGCAACTGGAAGAGGCCTCTGTCTACTCCTCAGAGGGTTCCAGTGGAATCAAGCTCCCATTGCTCCTAGCATGACCAATTTGATAACCTTCCCTTGTTTTGGTTTTTCCTTCTCTCCTGGTCCCCCATCCCTGCTCCTACGGATCATCTTCCAAATAAGATTTTGCTTTTGGGGGAATCTAAACTAAGATGGCACTTATCACATTATCTTGTAATTCTATCATTATTCATTTATTTATTCACTCATTCATTCACTCTACAAATACAAACCGAGTGCCTACTATATGCTCTAGATTCTGAGACTGCAGGAGTGAATGAAAGAGACAAAGTCCTTGCCCTCACGAATCTTATGTTTTATTGGGAGAGACAGACTAGAGGCAAATAAACACATAAGTAGATAGTATAATTTCAGGTAACCGTAAGTGCTCTGAAGGGAAAAATCCGGGATAGAGCTGGAATGGAGGTGGGAAGGATATTTGAGATAGGGTGGTCACCAAAGGCCTCTCTACAGAGGTTCCATTTGAGCAGACACTTGAATAAAACAAGGAAGGAATTCAGGAGAAGACCTGGGAAGAGTAAGTGAAAATGACCTGAAGTGGAAATTAGTTTGATGCACTCAAGAAGCAGCAAGAGGTATGGCTGAAGCAGAGTGGCAAGGGGGAGTGTGGAGGAGATGTGTTCTGGGAGTAGTAGGTACCAACTCCTTTGGATTATAAAGCTCACCAAGAGTAGACATGGGGCTTTCATCAGGGGAATAACATGACTTGAGCTGTATTTTATAAAGATCACAATGGCTACTGTATGACAATTAGACTAAGGAAAGAGGAGTAGAAGCAGATGGACAGCAAGAGACTCTAACCACTAGTGGTCCAGGTGAGAGATGAGGATAGATTTGACCTGGTTGATAGTGGTGGGGATGGTGACAGCTGGTTGAAGTCACTGTATACCATATTTTACACAAATACCCTGAGGCTTCTATGTTTGTTTGCCAACCACGCCCCCACTCCCAGGTGTGTTCATAAGTGCTGCTAAGCCAATTTTTTAAAACATGTTGCTGTAAAAAAAAAAATGAGCATAGCTGTGCTTTCGGAAAATATCTCCTGGGGAGAGGGAGCAGTTGGCAAACAAACGTAGAATGCGCATGTTATTTGCATAAAAATACAGTATTTGGAAGGAAGAGCTGATAAGACCTGCCTGATGGATTAGATGTGGGGTGTAAAGGGAAAAGAAGAATTTTAGGTTGACCTTAGTTTGAGCCTGAACTGCTGGGTGAGTGGTGGTGCCATTTACTCACATGGGGCAGACTTGGGGAGGAACAAGTGTGTGAGAAATCCACAGCTCTGTTTTAGACCTGCTGCTTTTGAGATGCATGTTAAAAAATTCTGCTGCTGAGTAGGCGGCTGAGTAGAGTTGAGGGGAGGGGCCTGGTTGGACACTTGGGAGCCCTCAGCATCTAGATAGTACTTAAAGGTTTGGGCTAGGTGTCATCATCCAGGGGGCAGTCGGGAGAGAAGGATTGATTTTAGTGGGATACGTAGCAAATCAACCAGTTATTCTCTAAAGGAGTGACTCTCAAACTTGAGTGTGCATCTGAATCACCTACAACAGAGCAGATCCTGGGAACTACCCTCAGAGATTTTGGGCCGCAGAGAGAAGATTAGGGAGACAAGCACCTCCAGGTGATTCTGATGCAGGTGATAAATAGATAATACTTTGAGATGTTCTGCGCTAGGGGATAGGTAGATGGGTGCGTCGGGAAGTGAAGGGTATTGCCAGGGTTAGAGTGACCAGGCAGTGGGATTCTGAAGACTACTACTGTTCTCTCCAGGGCCATCATGAGGCCTTAACCTGCATCAGCCCCTCTTGCCCCCTGAAGGTGGAGGGATCTAGGTGTGGCAGCCACACCCAAGTCTCTGCTGATCGTGCTGCAGATAGAAGCAGGTCCACCCATCCGCCACTTCCTTCTCCCCCTACCCATGCGAGCCGCAGAGCCCATCAGGTCTGCTTCTCGGGTGTTGTATTCAAAGGGAACCCTCAGTTGCACTCTTGGTGATGGCTACCATTGTCTAAGAGACATGAAGTTGGTCAGGGTGAACACAAGGCTTTCACTTCCAAATCCCCAGCCCTCACCCAGTGCCAGGACTGCCTCACCAGCTGCTGAAGGGCCTTCCTTTGGGTGTCTTGTTATGTCTAAGCCAGAACTCACCGTCTCCAAATGCCTGTGTCTCCCTCCAAGTCCACACTTCACTTTCCTCATCGTCCAGGTTTCAGTATGATTAGCACCTCTGATTCCTCCTTCTTTGTTTACTACAGCCCGTCTGCCACCTAGTCTTGCCAATTCTTCCTAAAATATCACTGGAATCTGTCCTTTCCTCTCCATTCCCACTGCCCCTGGGCAGGTTCAAGCCCTTATGGTCACTTGAATGGACTATGGTAAAAGCCTCCTACCCAGTTTCTCTGCCTCCTGCCTTGCCCCTTGTGTGGAATATTACTTTCTTTCATGGCACTCATCACTATTTGTAATAATGTATTTGTTTGTGTGTTTACTTGCTTGGTTTTCCCTCATAACCAGATGGCATGTTCCATGAGGCTGTGCTTATTTTGTTCACCACCTTGAACCCATGGCTGAGCACTATGGCAGGCACACAGTAGGTGCTCAATAAAATGTCTGTTGAATAAATGAAGTACTGACTGCAATAAGAGCCTCCAACCAGTTCTCCCAACTTACCCTCTCTGATTCTTGGCTCATGTGTTGTGTAGGATCATCTTTTTCGAACACTAATTGCATCCTATTCCACCCCTCCTTGCTGGAGGTGTTTATTGGGTCCTACCACCCTTTCGAAAGTTTATGGGAACTAGTTGAAGTTAAGAGCCAGCCGATAGTGAGCAAACGTGCTGTGGGGTCATTCATTAATACAATGCCCTGAATTTAAAATTGTGGGTTTGCTTCAAAAGAAACTCCCAAACCCACGAGCACTACAGGAAACAGGAGTCAAACCTCCCAGTACCTAGTATCCTCTAGGTTGGGGGCTTGATAAAATCAGCCCTTACTGCTTGAACCTGCCTCACACAATTATCAGTATGTGAGCCTACAGCTCCTCTTTCTCGGCTGCTCCCGTGCAGGGCTCAGAGAACTCATACCTGGCCGCAGTGCAGTGTGGGTGGGGCATGGCTCTGGGGTGTGACCCAACCTTGCTTAGGGGTTGGGTGTATTCTATTACAGTGTGTGCAGAGAGAGAGAGAGAGACAGACTGAGAGAGAGAGAGAGAGAGAGAGTGAGAGGCAGAGAGAGAGACAGAAAGAGGTGGTGGTGGGAGAAAGATAGAGATATTTGGGGAGGGCAAAGCTGAATATTTGACACAGTGGTTAAGTGATACGGCTGCTAACAAGAAGCTCGGCAGTTCAGATCCACCAGCCACTCCTTGGAAATCCTATGGGGCAGTTCTACTCTGTCCTATAGGGTTGCTATGGGTCAGAATTGACAGCAACGGGTTTATTTACAAACTTGGGAAAACACAGTTCAATAGAATTTCCTCTTCAATGTTGGCCCAGTTCCCCTCTCTCCTTACTAAGAGGAAGTGCCATTAGCTCATAGAAATGTAGAATTACACATTCCTCAGCCTGGAAAAGCCCTTGAATGAGGAGGTTGCTCAGTTTAAGAACTATCAGGGCCTTCTGCGGGGAACTTCAATCCAAATTCCCTAGAAGTCTGGAAGTTTCTCATCTACCACCCCTCCTACGCCTCAGCTGTTTGGAAGAACTCTCTCAGTTTCTCCCACAACCCTGGCTGTGATGAGAGGTTAGCTTAAAGGCACAGGCAGACCATCATATACTCCTACTGATTTTCTAGAAGAGCAACAGGCTCGGCCTGCACCCAGAGCCCACGGCCTCTTATCTGCCTGTCAAATTGCTTCCTACCTTGTCTCTTTCAACTAGATGGGCTCTAGCCCCTTTAAGATAATTCCTCTTCTCTGGATCTTTGTATTTACTCTTTGGTCAGCCTTCAACCAAACCTGCCTCCAGGGCCCCTTCCTTGGGGCAGAAGCCATTTCCAACACCTCATTTCTAGGACAAAGTGACTGACCCTGAGCCTATTACCGATCTTGACAAGGAGGCCTATAGGGAAAGAGTTTGAACAGGTCTGAAATGGTGTGATATTAGTCAAGTTCTCTGAAGGTGATAGGATCAGCACTTCCCCAGAATTGAGGATTTTCTTAGAATGAAACAGGGGAGAGGCATAGTTCAAGATGATACAGGGAAAAAGAGATGAGGTGTCCCCAGTTCCTTCCTCTGGATTCAGGCTGGGACAAAGAGTAAAGCTGGCAGGTAGGTGGTGCAGGTCACTGGCCTGAGTTTGCTCTATCTGGGCTGAGCTTGGTGAGTGATTCAAAGCCAGTGTGGTTTTTCTTGGAAGTGCCTTAGAAGAGAATGCACATGGCTTCCACCCTTACGAGAACCACCTCTTGGAAGTACTTCTGGGCCCAGGGCAGGAGGAGGTGGGGCTCCAGGGAGGTCTTCCCTGGAGGGAGGGGCTCATGGCTTCTCCTTTCCAAGCTGTCAGAGTTTACGTTCAAAATGTTGTGCTGTACTTTCCACCGCTTCCTTTCCAGTCTTCTAAAAGAACTCCTCTACATACTTCTTATCTCTTTCATTTTCACCGTTTCCAAGAAAAATGGCCCCTTTCCCCTTTACAGCCTTAACAGCTAATAATAGCTATTGTGTATGGAACACCTACGTGTCAGGTACCGTACTACACTCTTTATACGTGGTCTCACTTACACGCACAACCTCCCCATGAGGTGTTATTATCCCCATTTTACAGATGGGGAAACTGAAACTTTGAGAGGTGAAGTAATTTGCCCAAGGTCACAGACAATAAATGTTGGCACACGAGGACTTGGACCTGGGTTTGTCTGAGTCCTCAGGTCTTGTGTTTTTGAAGCTGACATCCCATATCCTAGTGATAGTCATTCTCAATTATCAACAACCGAGTCCTCCTCCAGGGACTGTGTCATCAGAAATCTGGTTGGTGTCTCATGATTCCTGTGGTCCTGACACTTTATTGGGGGGTAAAAACATACATCACTCATTCACAGAGCTTTGTGTTCAAGGCACACTCACATCCATTTTCTCAATGGGGTCTCACATTCCTATAAGTTAGACAAGTCAGGCACTGATTTCCAGTTTTACAGACACTGAGGCTTAAAGAGGAAATGTGACTTGCCCAAGGTCACACAGCTATAAACAGTGGAGTCAGAACTAGAACTTTGCTCCTAAAGTCCCCAGAATTCTCCCACCGTACTATGCTGCCTCTTCAATAAATAAATGACCAAAAATAAATAAATAAACCTTTCAAGGGAACCCTGAGGAATCTTCCCTCAAGGATTTCCGGGGGAGTTCAGTTATCAGACTAGTACCTTAGAGCTTCACAGCAGAGTGGACAGGGCTATGGCTGGTTTTACTGGGCTGGAATGTCTGTCCTCAGAATGTGACAGAGAAATGCAGGACCACTCCAGGCCCGTCTCCCCTCCTGGATTCCTTGCTTCTGGACTGTGAACTGGGTTTGTTTGAAGACAGATTCCAAGCTGACTACGGGGAAGCAGGGCCCACACCTGCCCTTGCTGGACCCCTGGGGACCAGCGGTTCTCTGGGCATGATGCATGGACTTCTACTCATCTGCTAGCCCTCAGCATGAGAAAGAGGCTGGCTCTGTGCAGACATGGTCATGGAGCCCACCTCCTCCCAGCACAGGGTCAGGCAGGGTTGGGAATGTTGCCCAGAGGCCAGCTTGGCTAACACCCAGCATGGCAGAGGGCCTGGAGACTGTGTCCTTATTTCACAGCTGGGGAAACTGAGGCCCTCTGAGAAGTGGCTGGCCCAAGGTCACCCTGCTGAACACTGAGAGAGCAGGGCTCCCAGCCCAGAGCCCTGTCCTCTGGGTCTGTAGCTGAACATCAATAGCAAATACAAGGAGCAGGTCCCAGCCCCAACCGTCTGGGGCAGACATGAACTGGTGCCCAAGCCCAGAGGCTGCCTGAGGGACTGAGTTTTGGCCAGTACAAACAACCATGGCTCCTCTGGTACTGTCAGCAAGATGGTGGGCCATCAGGGTGAAGATGGTGACTGGCCTAGCCACTGCATGTGCCCTAGGGGATATCTGAAGACAGACCCTAGGGACACCCCAGCAGAGGGATGGGTTTTGAACCAGAAGCCCCATTCTGGATCTCAGCTCACTTCATCCCTGTGGCTCCATAATGATGTGCAGACAGACTGACTGACCTGGGCAGACACACCTTACCATCTTTCAGTGACAACCTCCCTGCCTTCTCTGTGTGGCCATCCCAGCCTCAAACTCGGGATCTGCTGCCTCCTGTTTCCCTCTAGCAATGACTCTTGTGCTAAGGTCCTGAAGCCTTCATCCTTCAGCTCTCCAGTCTGCTGGAGGCCCTGATACACGGCTGGCCTAAGAGGGAGGCCTGGGCCAAGCTGACTTCAGCCTGGTGGCCTCACCACAACTCCAGAAAACCCCGTGGTTCCCCTGAGCAAACAATCCTTTCTGAGGCAGGAAAGAGTCCCGAGGGGGAGGAGGTCTTGCCCTGCCTCAGCTCTGCCAGACTGCACAAGGGCCCATTCAGAGAACAGGTCAGTGTCACCCATGCCCTGCACTAGTTCAATGAGATTGCCTCCTTCTGTCCCTGTCCACTGTGGCCAGCCTGGTGGGGCCTGCTAGCGCTGGCACCACTGGGCTTGCAGAAAAGTGCCCAGCCTGGCCTTATGTTTCACCTCTGATCTCCTGGGGACATCTCCTCCTCCCGAGGACAATCCTTATCCAGTGTCAGCCAGGGGAGGATCACGCATGGCTAAAATCCAGTGCATCCCTTTAGCCTGGGTCCTCATTTGCATGCAGGCTGGAGATCAGTGGCAGGGCCACCAGGTCTGAGTCAAAGCTGCTCAGGAGACTACATGAGGCTGCCACACAGTCCACAGGGGCAAGATCCGGGACAAAGCTCCAGTCCGAGGTTCCCAGGTCACCACAGCTGGTCAAGCCCAGGAGTGGCCATTCCTCAGCTGGTTGGTTCCATTGTCCAGTTGGGGCCCCTGAGGGAAGGAGAGTCATTCCTGGGGGGTCCTGTTTCATATAGCCTTTGGCCAGGTCTGGAGGAGGCCAGTCTGCCTCAGCACCTAGGCACATCCGGAACTTGGGGCCAAGGCCATCTGTTGAGGAGGACTCTACCTCCAGGCAGCCGACCTTGGCTGTCTTCTCCTCTGCACATCTTGTCTGCTTCAGGTAGCCCTGGAATGCCACCGCAGCTGGGTCTTCTTCCCCAGGCAGCTCAGGCCTTGGGGGGCTGACCTCACCCAAGGCTGAACTGCCTTGTGTGCCCCCAGGCTGCCGCACAGAGTTTTGGGCTAGGCCAATGCCACTGTCGTCCTGGCCACGACTGTCACTCCCCACCTGCAGCTCCCAGCCAGGCCCTGTGCTGGGGCTCAGGCTGGGCTCCTGCAAGCAGATCCCGCTGTCTGTGCTGTTGCTGCTGTCTCCGCTGCAGCTGTTCTCCAGCACTGGGGGCTCCCCCTGCCCCCTGGTCCCAGTGGCCTCGGGGTGGGGTTCAGGGAGGAAGAACTGGGGCTCTTCAGTCTGCAGGGATGGCTTGGCACTGCCAAAGCCACTGTCGGTGCTGCCGTGCAATTCTGAGTTCCTCAGCTCTGGGGACACCTTCGGGAAGGCCTCCACGTCAAGGTGGTAGATGCTGTCTGGGGCTTCTGGGCAGGGAAGCTGGCTGACGAGGCTGAAGGGGCTGGGCTTCTTGAAGACCTGGGAAGGAGAGAATGGAGTGAGAGAGGCGGGAGGGTCACCCGCAGGCACCAAGCCCAGTGTTGCTAGTGAGGCCACGGTCCAAGGGGAGCTCAAGAGGTTACCGCTTCAACAGAGGGGGGTTGTAGAGCCTGGATTACACTGAGACTTGCTATTTTTGTTCTGTTTTAGAATCAATTTTTCCTCCTAATTCAATTCTCAAGTTTGGCTCAGGCCAGATAACATAAAAAACTTGTATTCTTGGAGCCCAGACGGACTGACAGGCAGAATGAGAGCCTGCTGGGAATGGGGGAGCCTCTCAGCTGGCTCCACCGGCGGTCCTTTTCAAACCTGAGAGCAGGCTGGGCCCTTTTAGAAGTGTGTTTCAAACTTTTTTCACTATGATGCAAAGTAAGAGATAGGTTTTACATAATAACCCACATGTATATACAACTGAAACCAGTTTCTCAAAATAATACTTCGGTGCCTTGATATTTTCCATTCTACTCTATTCTACACACTCGACTCTATCCTATCCTATTTAATGCATTTCATTTTTTAAAATGCTAGATGCGAGACACATCCATTCCCGTTAATTTCTCCATTCCCTGAGTTGCGACCAGCAGTTTGACAAACACAGGGTTGCTGACAATGTGAGGCAGCGGAACAAGCACAGCACCAGCAGCCAAGGACCTGTTCCCTACTTATTGCTGAGTGTCCCAGGGTAACCCTTCTCCCTCTTGCTCCTCTGCCCCAGCCACACTGGTGCTCTTTCTTCCCCTGGAACAGTGCTGTCTCAGGACCTTTGCACACGCTATTGCTTCTGCTTGGAATACTCTTCTCTCAGCCCTGTGAATGGTTTGTGTTCCCTTGTGGTTCAGGGCTCAGCTCAGATGTCACCTCATCAGAGAGGCCTTCCTGGCCACCTGACTAAAGTGGTGCTCCAGCCACTCTCTCCACATTAACCTAGTTTACCTCTTCATAGTACTTAGTTCCTGGAATTATTTTTTTACTTGCTTTTGTCCCCCCACCCCACCCCAAAACACACACATACTCACTCCCCAAAAGAATATAAGCTCCTTGAGGGAAAGAGCTGTAGTCTTGCTCACTACTCTGTCCCTACAGCCTAAACAGAGCTAGCACATAGTAGGCACTCATAAGGTTTGTTGACTGACTTACTGACTCACTGTTGCACATGTGCTCTTATTCCCTTGGTACATGATGACTCCAGTGCAATTCTTAGTGAGTCCCTTTTAATTTCACATAGCTTGGTGAGTAAGGATGTGTGCTCTGGAGCTAGACTACATGGGTTCAAATACAAGTTCTGTCTCTTAGCTGTGTCACTTGGCCAAATTACTTATCCTCTCTGTGCTTCAGTTCCTCATCTTTAAAATGGAAACGACAGTCCCTGCCTCCTCGTATTGTGGTTAATGCATGAGAAGTGATAAAACAGTGCCTGGTACATAGAAGATACTCAGTAAATATTTGCTGAATTGCATTTACCCTCCAACAACTCTGTAAGGGAAGTGTTATCATTTCTATTCCCTAAAGGAGAAAACTGACGCTCAGACAAATTAAATGACTTGCCCAAAGTCAGACAGCAACAAAGAACAAATCTCAAATTTGTACTCAACTGTCCTGATTTGAAATCCCCTGCTTGTCTAATAATATTTAACCTCACTGGGTTGTGGAAAGGTCAGATCAAATCAGTTAATGAATGAGAACAAGGTAATGAAAAGTTATTCATAAAGTTAGGAGTGGCTATAATCATCAGATGAAGGCAATCTGTCGTATTTATCCTAAAAGATCAGTTGCCATTGAGTCGATTCTGACTCTTGGAGAGCCCATGTGTGTTAGAGTAGAATTGTACACCCTAGGGTTTTCAATGGCCATGCTCTTTTGGAAGTAGATCACCAGGCCTTTCTTCCAAGGTGCCTCTGGGTGGGCTCGAATGTCCAACCTTTCGGTTAGCAGCCAAGCACATTAACTGTTTGTGCCACCCAGGGACTCAGTATTTATCCTAGAGGAGAAAAAAGCCCCAAGGACAACTCAATTCCGTGATCCAGGTGTACAGAAGGAACAACAACAAAAAAAACCCAAGAAGTTGTTTGCCATTTGCTGGGTCATTTTTGCATCTATGTCTATTTCACTGTGCTTTGCATTAAAGTTAATAGTTCACACATCGGCTGCCCCACTAGGCTGTAATCAAGCCCCTTGGGACCAAGGGCCGGGCTAATTGGCTTCTTCCCTTACAACGTTTTGCATGCAGTAAGTGCTCAGCAGTTACTGCCTCACTTACTCTCTTTCTAGATGCCTTTCCTGACCCCCTACTAAGCATCTCCCCACCCCGTGTACCAGGACCACTCTTCCTCCAGCCCCTCTGCTTTCTAGTTATTATACTCCAGCCTCCCCTCCCTGAGGGCAGGCTCCATGGTACATTCATCTCTAAACCACCACTACCCCCAGCTCCAGGCCCTGTCTGTAACCTATCCTCAAAGTACTTGTTAAAGACAGGCCAGTGAATACATGTTTGCGGAACTGAATCTCCCCAGAGCACAGAGAAAGGACAATGAGTACACACTTCAGTTAGACACGAGGAAGAACTTTATAATCTCCTAAGGCTGTAGGGACTGCCTGTCCCTGGTCTCCTCACTGTACCTCTCTACCCAGAGTCCACTGGAGCTGGGAGCATGGTTCTTTTTTCCCTGGACAAAGACCCTAATTAGGTCAGGCAGTCCCACCTTTGTCTCAACTTTCTGGCGTTCTTATTCAAAATAATTTCAGAATCTGTGGGCCTCTCCTTATTTTTCCTACACATCCTAGGATCTCTCTGGAGGCTCCCCTCCCAGCTGTGAGCTTCCGCAGGGCACCTGCCTCCCACTGACCAAGCTGGGCCCTTCCATCACATATTAGTAAGGCCAGCTGGAGGGGCTGTGGCCAGCAACCTTTGATGTGGCCTGAACCCTGAGCCAGAAACAGGCTGAGGTTTGGGAAATCCTGCTCAAGTCTTGCAAGGTGAGTTCTGGAGGCTGGCTTATCACAAGCGCAGCGTGGTCTGCATTCCGTAGCGAGGCGGGCATGAGACCCTCACCCCTCCAGATCCCCTCCTCCACTCTGCTATCGCCCACTCCACTCTGACAGCAGCCCAAGGGCTAGCACCTCCTGCCCTCTGTTCTCCCTCTCCTCGCTAGAGCACTCCTCACCCGTCCCAGCCCTGACACTTCCTGGCTGTGTGACCCTCTGCATGTAACAATCTCTCTATGCTTCAGTTTCCTCACTCATGAGGATAATAATTATACCTACCTCATAGGCACTAGGGTACAGGGGCTAATCCATGGCCAACTATTAATAAACAATAACAAAGTGAAGCTTGAGGGTCTGTGATTACTCAGTCCATGTCTTATCTAGGTTACTAAAAGGCAACATTCTCAAGATTAGGATTTGTGTTCACATCAACCCTCTTTCCCCACGGTGCCTGACGGAGGTGCCTCCTGACTCCATTGCTGAGCGTGGAGAAGAGCTGGGGTGCTGGACTGTCTGAGAGCCACCCCCCACCCCCACCCCGGGAGCTCTCGTGTGGCTGGGAAGGACGAGCAGTGGCCTCCAGTGACACTCACCAGGACCGAGGGTAGCTTCCTGCCGCGCCGCACGTACAGCTGGAGGGCCAGGCAGTACACCAGGGCTCCGCAGAGCGGCAGCACAAAGGTGAAGCAGATGCTGAGGATCGTCGGGGTGAAATCTGCAGGCACAGAGAAATGCGTTGGCGGCCTGGCACTGTGGGACATGAAGGGTGGTCCCCAGGGGTCCCTCAGCTACTCTTAGGAAGCACCCAGTGAGTGGCCACAGGAACCTCACAGGCTACTGCCAGGCCACAGGTCTAGATGTGTCTGGGTTCTTGGGAATCCTTGCTTGGCCTTCCAAACTCTGCCCTAAAAGATTTCCTCATCAGACCCGGTGACTCTGCTTCCAGCCCTCTGCATATGACAGCAACCAGAACAATGAGGACAGATGGCACAGCAGGTAAGAACACAGGTTTTGGGGGCAGCGAGACCTGGCTTCCAATCCTAGCTTCACCACTTACTAGCTGTGGGATTGTGGGCAAATTACTTAACCTCTCTGAGCCTCAGTTTCCTCATCTATAAAATGAGAAGAAAAATAGTACCTATCTCATAAGATGGTTGTGAGGTACTATAGTACATAGCACTTACCAAGTACCAAGCACTTTACTTATTTCACTTGATCCTCATAACAACCTTATGAGGTAAGTACTATCATTGTCTCCATTTTTACAGATTAGGATCCTGATGCACAGAGAGGTTAAGTAACCTGCCCAAGGTCATAAACCTCGTAAGTGGGATTTGAACTTAAACCTTTCCACAAAACTATTTCTCATAGCAATGATATGTGAGTATCAGTATACACGTGAATATACATATAAAAAGCACTTTCAGGCTGCTTGCCACACAGGAAGTGCCTTACTCTGCAGTGAGGCTTAAATGACAATGAGCTTGTGAAAGCCTTTCATAAACAGAAATTTATTGGAGAAATGCAAGGAGTTATTTTAGTCTTTGCTGACCTCCTGCCCATGCGGAACTCAGCGCTCTCAGACACTTACTGCTGGATCTATCCCGCACTCGACATAAGATGTGTTGAGGTGCTAGTTAGGGCTTCCTCCGTGCTTGCTGTTCCCAGCAGATGGTAAGATCCTTGCAGGCAGGACCATGGCCTCGACACCCCTATCTCCTCTGCTCTCCCCTCGCCACCCCAGCACCTGGCTGAGAGCCTGGCACAGTATCTGTGGCAAGGAGTCAGCTCAGTTGTGCTTCCTCTGGCATGAGAAGACCCTCTGTACCCTGGGCTCTGAGGTAGACCAGCGAAGGGGTGGAGCAAAGAGGAACTACCACAGCTGCCAGAGGGCAGCTTGGGGGGCTCCTGGGAAGTGCAGCTGTGCTCGAGAGGAAGCACCGTGGAATCAGGAGACCTGTGCTGCCACCACATCCTAGCTGCTTGCACACTCTGAACTTCAGTTCCCCCATCTCTGAAATAGGGATAATGAGGTCTCTCTCACAGGGTTGTGTGAGAGTGAAAAGGTACATGGGGGGTGCCTAGCACCGTGGCTGGCCCCGGCAGCCCTGAGCAGATGCTTTCCGGATTGTGTGAGGTCCTTCCTGCCCCCGCTTCCCCCAGCCCTGACTGGACTTACACTGCCTGGTGAGGGTAATGCACTCCTCCTTGGACCACACCCCCTTGTTAGTTCGGGAGCCGACGGATGGTTTCACCCTGATGCAGAACTCTCCCACCTCTCCAGAGGCTGGGAGGCTGAAGTTTTCATGGTTTACCTTCTTGTTTGTGAACTGAAATGCAAACAACTGCAATAAGCAAAATACCCCTTATTTCATGGCACCACAGAGATGGAGAGCTGGAGCTGAGAGCCTTTCGAGATGATCTTGGCAAACTCCCCAGTAGCTTCAGTCTTTTTCTTCTAAGATAGCAAACCCCGCGATTATCAACGCAGCCCAAGAGCTCTGTAATTACTGTAATTTATTTTATGTTAAAAGAGAAAAGGGAGTGTTTTAGAGAAGCTGGGAACCCTTCCAAAAGGGGCTGGCATCAACTGTGGTGGACAGGAAAGAAGATGGAATTTGCAGACACACATTCCTGGGTTCAGATTCCAGATCTTGCCCTTACAGGGTGTCCTTGGGCAAGTTATACTGCCTGCTCAAGCATCATTTCCTCATCTAGAAAATGGAATAAGACATCTGTCTGCGAGGGGACCACAAATAACAGCTACAAAATGCCTCGTGTGGTGACCGACACCTAGCAGGCACCTGTGAACGGCAATGTCTTCCCACCGCCTCCCAGGAGAACAGGTTTGAAGGCTGGGGACACTTTCACTCCCTCCCTCTCTGTCACCCCTGGGACCTCTCTTGACTCTGCCAGCAAAGTCCCCCAGCCCAGGTGACAGGGAAGCCCGAGGAGCGCCATACCGTGTATTCTCCCGGCACCTTGCGAATATCGATCTCATACTCGCGGAAGTTTTTGAAGATGTGTTCGTACATGTCACCTGCGGGGGCTATCTTGGGCCTGAGGGGCTGGATTGTCCCAAAGATGCAGCCGTTGTGTATCTCTAGCTTCACGCTGTCAACTTTCAGAGTCACTGAGTGGGAGACAAGGCCATAAGGCCTGCAGGCTGGGGAGGGCCTTGGCATCTACCCGCCCATGCCTTGCCTCCAGGATCAAGCTTTGTCCACCCTAAAACCTGGGCCATAGGTTTCCCAAAGATTTCCTGGGGAGCATGTGAAAAATACAGATGCCCCAGGCCTACTCAAGACACAGTGAATTTGAATTTCTGAGGCTGGGCCCTGGAAACATGTTTTAAACACACTCCCCAGGTAGCAATTCTTCAGCCCCCTGGGCATTGGCCTTCAGACAGGCATTTGGGAACCAACGACTTCCTAGACTTTCAGCTCTGACTCTGACTCCTTCAGAGCAGGTTCACCACACACATAGAGCATAAAATCAAAACCAAACCCATCGTTGTTGAATTGATTCTGACTCATGGTGATCCCATGTGTTACAGAGTAGAACTGCTCCATAGGATTTTCTTGGCTGTAGTCTTTATGGAAGCAGACTGCCAGGCCTTTCTTCCATGGTGCTGCTGGGTGGGTTCAAACCACCAACCTTTAAGTTTGCATCACCCAGGCATCTTCACATAGAGCATACTCAATCCTAATTTGAGGAATGAAAGAATCCCATTAAGTTTGGGGCTTATCCTTTTGTCTTACTTCCCCAGAGAGTTCCCCAGAAATGCCTCAGACCCTGTTCCTTGGAGTTCAAGCTTTCAGGAGTGGGCATCTGATCCAAATTCTGCCTACTGCTTCTTGCTCTCTGCTGAGTGCTTATGGATTTGCTTCCTCTCCCCGAACCCTACAAGTCCACAGGTCTGGGCCTCTTGACTCAGCTGCCCCAACCCACCCCAAGACCTCTCTTCTGTAGGATAAACAACTCTAGTTCCTTTTTAAACCTCTAATGACTCTGGCTATTTTCATCTAAACTTTCTCCAAAGGACTGTTCTCTCCAGTCCTGACTCGAGCCTGCCGGACAACTAGGTCCCCAGCCAGGAAGCCTGCCTGATATGGGGAACTATGGGAACAGACAGAAAAGCTTTAGACTAGAATGTCTGGCTGGAAGGGGCCCCAAATGCCATGTTCGAGACTAAGGGGAGAAAAAGCACCTTCGTCCCTGGTAAAGCGGGTGTCGCTGATGGTCCAGTTGGAGCGCCGGCTGCCGTCTACTGCTCGGACTTTGGCTCGGTACCCGTTGTTGTGGTACAGGCCTAGGGTCACTGCAGTGATGTCACAGGACTGCGCCAGCGTCTGGTTACAGGTGGGGATGGCCTTCCAGGACTCTTCGCCATAGCTGGGGAGGGATCACAGTGGGCATAGGGAGAGGAACTTGTGCTCAAACCTACTCCTTTTAGAGGGAAGCAAGAGCTAGGGAGAGATCCCCATGAAGAGAGACACTGGTACAGGCCTTAGGTTATTTCCCACAATCCAGGGCATATGCTTGCTAGGAGGTCTCCCTTGGTTCTGGGACCCTGTCTCAATTTCTCTGTGGCCCAGGGACTGTTAGATTGGATTCTGACTAGCTCAAGGCCAGCTCCTCCTCCAGGAAAACTTGCCACCCCCGGCAACATGGCCTAATTTCTCTTTTCTCCAAACTGCACTTGCATTTGTCACAGCTTCCTTATTCTCCAACTGTATTGTGGATGCTTTTCCTGTTTTTCATTAAGATGAAAAAGCCTTGAGGGCAAAGGCGGTACCTCGGCCTCCTCACCCCAGAGCTCCCAGCATACTGCTGGGCATATACGAGAGCTCAGTTAGTGCTTGTTAATTGATAGAAATGTGCCAGGGTCCCTCCCCATCTCATTTCAACAGGAAGACATGTAACTTCCCTGTGCTAGAGGAGCAGAGGGGATGGGTCCACTACTCCCTCTCCCTCCCTCTTTCCTCTGCCCCTCTTTTCCCTCACCACAGGAACTCCACTTCATAGTAGGTGCTTTGGGACTGATTCAGGATGGGCGTCCAGTGAAGCATGTGGTGGAAAAATTCAGCTTCAAACCACACAGACAGAGGGCTGGGCAGTTCTGTCCCTGAGGAGAAGAGTGTCAGTATCAGGGGTCACAAAGCCCAGCAATTCTCAGCCACCCCCTAGGGATGAGGATGATGGTGATGATGACTATGAGCTGATCATTGTGCTAGGGTCCTCTTGATTAGTTATCACAACAGCCCTATAAGGTAGGCACTTACCCCAATTTTACCCATGAACAAATGGAGGCTCAGAGAGGTTAAGTGATGTGCCCAAGGCCAATCAATCTAGTAAGGGGCAAAGTAGGGACATGAATCCACGTGTATGTGATACCAGAGCTACTGTTGCATCCTTAAATCACCAGCCTGGGCTATCTGCGATCAGAAGCAGAAATGGTGGCTGGGAAGAGCTGAGCCAGGGCCAATGCATCCCAGGGAGAAGACAGAGGCTGAGGAGGACTAAGGCACATCAGCAAGGAGGCGTCAGATGACCTAGTCCTTGGCTTTGCCCCATCCCTTCCCTGTACTAGTCCCATCCCCAGGCCTGGCCTCTACCCCCAGGCCTAATGCCCACCCTGGTCCCAGCCCTGGCTCTGGCCCAGGCCACCTCTCTCGGGTTCTTTGGGCACACATTCTGTTTGTAAACATCTGTCTGTTTCTCTTCATGGCTCGCCTGGGCTCGTCCAAGCTAAGTGCTTATCCCATTCCCTTGCTCCTAGGAAAGCTTTGTTGGCACAGCAGTTCAAATCCACCAGCCGCTCCTTGGAAACCCTATGGGGCAGTCTTACTCTGTCCTATAGGCTCACTATGAGTCAGAATTGACTCAACAGCAATGGGTTGGGTTTGATTTTACAGCCAGATGCCCAGCCTCAGGCTGAGTGAGGACAGACAGACTGAATCAGCTCTGGTTCTGAACTGGGCTGAGGCCATTTCCACAAAGAAATGTTTCCAAGGTGAGATACTAAATACTGACCCCCATCTCCACCCTCCTGTCCCCTCAACACCCACCATTCACCACGGAATACCAACATCAACAGCCTCAAACAGTCACTTGTCAGTGTGACTTTGGACAAATGACAGCCTTGCTCTATCTGTTCCCTCATTTGTGAGAGCGCAGCCAATACACCTACTTTAAGAACCTTGTCTATCCAGTGCAGTGAGGTGTATGGAAGGCCAATCAATACCCAGTGAGCTTCCCTTCGCTCCTCCATCCTTGCATACCTCAGTCTGACAGTCACCCGGCTCCTGTTTCCCTTGTTTTCTTAACTTCTCTTGATCTCTGTAATAATGCTTCTTCTTCCTGACTTTGTCATTAGAAAATGCTTCTGTCCCTGTCTCTCGCTTTCTTTCTTATACTATCTTTGATCCTCAAGTCTCTGTCTCGATTTCAAAAACATTAGACAGAGAGTGAAAAATGGAGCCCGTCTTTGTGGTGTTGGGTCTACACATCGCCAACTCAGTTCTCGATCATGTGAATGGCTATGTGTTTTACTTTGTATTTTGGTGTCACGTAGAAGCAGTTTCAGTCTCTGCTCTCCTTGCCTCTGCTCTTGGTCCCTCTAACTCTGGCCCTTTCACTCTCGGGTCTTTCCAGGGTTTTACTCTTCTTAGTGGCAGAAACTTTCCCAGGAGAGCAGGCTAGGTTGGGAGCCTGAGCTGAAGGGTTGGGGTAAGGGAGGAGGAAGGTAGGCGGCAGTGGGAGTGAGCTGGGGGCTAAGATGGAGTAGAGATGATCAGATAGGAGTGATGGGTGGTACTGGAGGGAAAAGACAGGAACGGGGGAGGGTGTGAGATGGTACAGAGGCAGAAACAGGTTAACTGGATAGGTAAGAAAAGGTAGAGTCAGATGAAGATCGAAGTACCCCAAGGAGTGACAAGTTAGCCCATCATTTGAACTAAAACAACAAAAAAAGCCAGGGCCGAAATGTATGGCTTTTCAGAAGAGGGGTGGACGATGAGTTGGAGCGGGGGGGGGCTTTTCTCTTCTCCATCCACTCCCCGAACCACCGCCCCCCTCCCCATGCCAATCAATCGCAGTCTCTTCCAAGTCAACAACAGGCGAGTCAGGGCAGCGGCCTCTTGAAATGTAGGCTTGCAGGAAAGGAGACCCAGCAGGGAGGGAGGAGGTAACGGACGCCCCTGTCCCTAGACGGCCTGCCAGACGGGCTTCGGGCAAGAGGTGGCCGGGGTCGGAGTCCGATCTGGCCACAGACCAGCGGGGCGGCGCGGACAGGGCAGGGCAGTCCGGGGTCCCGATCCTTACCTTGCGCGTCCGAGCCGAGGCGCAGGCTAAGGAGCGCCACCAGCGGCAAGAGAAGGCGCGGCAGCATTTTTGGCGGGCACCATCGTCCGGGACCGGAGCCCGGCCGCGCGCCGCCTGCCGCTCCGCCGCCTCAACACTCTGCCTGGCAGGACCTCCCGGCCCCGAGAAGCAGATGTCGCGGGGGCGTGGCCTCGAGATGCCCCGCCCCCAGGGCGGCGGGGCGGGAGCCTGTGCCAATACCCGGGACCAATGCTGGGCAAACGCAGGCCTGCCACGGGGTGGGCGCGGGGCTCAGGTCAACTTTACACCTTCCCCTGTCCCCTTGGTTTCCAGTGCAATCGGATTAAAGCTGTCCGGGCCGCCTGGCCGTTATTTTTGTGTGGGCGGGTGGGGGGCGGGCGTGGTGAGGGACAGCCCGCCCCTTGGGGTTCGGAAGATGGGGTGAAGATGTCAGGACTGACTATACCTGGCGAGCTGGGGTTACAGTTGCGGTTGCAGCTGTGGCTGCGGCCGCTCGGGGTCGTGGGAAAAGGTTGTCTGAGCGCTCTTCGAAAGCCCCTGGCGCCGAGGGAAAGTGCCCAAGGACACGTATGTGAGTCTTGGTTATGCCCTAGTATCTCCGTGAAGGGGTCTGCGCTCAAGCCACAGTAAAGTAGACGGTCTCCTACCTGGGAGAATATTTTTGCAGTGGTGCCCACAACGTCTCATGTCGCTTGCTAGAAATCTCACTTTTAGATCTATTTTTCTTTTGGGTTAATATACATTGCTGAGGACTGGGGAACACTTGAGCCCATGTCAGTCACTCAGCCTCTAGTGTGACTTGGCTCATCAGAGACTTCACCAAGGATAAGGACATGGAAGAAAAACTTTGTCTCACTTTTTGATGGAGGACTCTGTGTGTGTGTGTGTGTGTGTGTGTGTGTGTGTGTGTGCACTTAAACACTCATATGAATTTGCAGTGGGAGTCGGCTTGTCCAGGCTTGGATTAGACTGCGGTGGTGCGCATGTGCCTGTGAATGTTTGCAGGGTGCATATATGTGCTTGAGATTGTGTGTGTGCCAAAGTGCTAAGGCCATGGAGTCCTGCCCTTGTCCTCAGCAGGCACAGGGATTAAAGAAGGAGGGTCAGGCTGGGGTCACCAGGCTCTCCCTGCTCCTGGGAAGTTTCCCTGGCAGTAACCAGAGCCCGCCCACACTGAAGGATGTATCCACTGTAGCTTCTGAGAATGGAGTGTGTGACATTAGCCCTGTGTGCTTGGTGTGGAAGTTACTAAGGCATTAGTCGTGTGGCTTGTGGCGATATGAACTCTGTTTAAGTATTTTCAGAGTGGAAGTTTCTCTTCTTAGTTTCCACTGCCCTTCCTAAGGAAGACTCCACTCTGATGTTTCTTTTTGCACTTGTCTTTTAGTTTTTTGTTGAGTTGTAAGAGTTTAAAAGTCTTATCCCATTACCATTTTGAAGAAAGATCAGAGTTCTTCATTCAGTCATTCGACAAAAATTCACACTCATTACGGGCTGAGGGCAGTGGTGGTGTGGTGGTTCAGTAGAAGAATTCTTACCTTCCATTTGGGAGACCCGGTTCCATTCCCGGCTAGTCCACCTCATGTATAGCCACCACCCGTCTGTCATTGTTGGCTTGTGCGTTGCTATGATGCCGAGCAGGTTTCAGCAGAGTTTCCAGACTAAAACAGACTAGGAAGAAAGTCCTGGCAATCTACTTCCAAAAATCAGCCAATGAAAACTCTATGGATCACAATGGTCTGATCCTGTTGTGCATGGGGTCGCCATGTATGGCAGCTAACAACAACATTATGGGCCAGACACTGGGGATAAAATGGTGATCAAAACAAGATCCCTTCCCCCAAGAAACTCACAATCTAACTAGAGACAGAAAGTGACCTGAGATTTTAACATGCTGTGGTAAGTGCTCTGGTAAGGGAAGTATAGGCTGCCATGGGACACAGAGCATAGGCACTGGACCACATTTGGGTTAGGGGCTAGGGAAGTGTTCCTGGAGGAGGTGACATCTAAGCTGAGACTTGAGGGATGAGGAGGAGGTAGCTAGGTGGAGTGGATAAAGAGGGTGTTCCAGATAGAGGGAGGTATATGCTTGGAGATGAGGGAATAGGGCATTTGTGAAGACCCCTGTAAAATAGGGAATTTGCATCCCAATTTTACAGATGAGAAAATCACATGGCTGACATAGGTTAATGTCTTCCGCAGGGCAGAGCCAGCTATTCCAATGTCTTCTGCTGCCCTGTAGAAAGCACCCAGGATAGGAGTTATGTCAGGCATATGATTACCGTCCTTTTTTTTTTTTAAAAAAAGAAAGGAACATTCTCAGTGTTCTGAAAAGTCCACACTAAGGTTCAGTGATTTCTGAAATTCACACTAGTATTGGGAAGATAAGGAGCCCGGGTGGCACAGTGGTTAAGCACTGGATTGCTAACCAAAAGTTGGTGTTTCAAACCCACCAGCCACTCCACAGGAGAAAGATGTGGCAGTCTGCTTCCATAAAGATTACAGCCTTGGAAACCCTATGGGCCAGTTCTACTCTGTTCTGTTGAGTCACTAGTAGTGGGAATTGACTTGACAGTTGTTTTTTTTTTTTTTTTTTTGATCTGGCCTACTAAAATAGTTTTTTTTTTTTTTTTTTGTTTATTGGGTTTATTGGGGCAGATGATAGAAGGTAATTACAATATAGTAAAACCTGTGGAAGCCAGAACCTGTGTAAAGTGGAAACCTGTCAGAAAGGAAAACTCAAATATTTTCTACTAAAACGAGTGACAGAAAAATCGTAAGACTGCAACCTGTCAAATGCAGAAAACTTACAAGACCCAGAAAAATAAGGCGGTCCCGTTGAGTTCTGGCTCTCACAGGTTTCACTGTAGTATCTTGTTTAAATATACTAGCATCTTGGTTTAAACAGTTGGTTTATTGAGCTCTTACTGCATGTCAGGCACTATGCTAAAGACTTTTCCATGTTGTGGCAGAGACTGACTAGATGTTTAGCAATCCTGTTTTTTCTTCCTGGGCACACTGTTAGGAACAAGCATAAACTTCCCTTATAGTTAGGTGGAACCATGTGTCTGGGTTTTGACCAATGTTATGTTGAATTGATGGGTGCCACTTCCAGGCCTGGTCTCTGACTGTGTCTTTGCTATTCCATCAGCCAGGTGGAGGGGTCTGTGGAGAACTCCAGGGGGAAGGAAAGAGCATGGGTCCCTAATCACCTCTTGGAGGAGAGCTGTGCAGGACTGGCACTCCATCTGCATCAGCCTGTAATCTGAGGGGGGAATGAGCCCTTGTTGTATCTAAAACCTGTTGCCATCGAGTCGATTCCAACTCATAGCAACACTATAGGACAGAGCAGAACTGCCCCATAGGGTTTCCAAGGAGTGGCTGGTGAATTCAAACTACCGACCTTTTGGTTAGCAGCCAAGCTCTTAACCACTGCACCACCAGGGCTCTTTGTTGTATCTAGCCACTGAGAATTGGGAGCTTTTGTTGTAGCAGCTAGTGTTAACTCCCCTGATTAATAGACAAATGTTATCTCACTTAATCCTTGTAACCACTTGATGAGATTGCATCATCATCAGTGTTTTACAGATGGGGAAGTGATGTCATTTGCCCGTGTCACCCAGCCAGTAGGTGGTACAGCTAAGATTTCAGTTCAGGTCTCTTCAGTTCCAAAGCCCGTGCTTTTTCGCAATCTTGGAAATCCTCATGGAAGACACAACTGTCAACTGAGCTGAGAAAGAGTGGAGGAGATGGGGAGGAACAGCTTGGGGCTGAGGGAGTGCTGTGGGTAGAGGAATATGGTGAACCAGAAGGAACTGTGGCCTGGTGCAGCAGGGCCTGTGGGCAGAGCTGGGCAGACATCTTGTCCCCATGGCCATACGGGAGGATTTTTAAGGTGGATTTTGAGCTCTGGATGGTTCCATTATCTCATTTTTGCTTTTCTTCCTGGTCTACAGGATGATGCCTCTAAATGGGCCATCACTTGTAGGGGATAGGGAGGGGGAGACCAGAGAGGGTAGGAAGTCAATGCTCCAGTGTGGTAACAGGCACAACTTGCAGTTTCTGTCCCTGGACTGGAGATAAGGGAAGTCCCCAGGCCTTGTGACCACCATGTCAGAGCTATACATAAAGGAGAGAGAGCCCCAGAGGGAACCGACGCTGAGAAGGAGACAGAGGAGGAAACTGTCTGGAGAAACGGCAGTTGTTGGGTGGACGAAAGTTGTGGAGTCACAGTGACCTGCCTGACCCAGACTGGCTCTGCCCCGGGGGCAGCCTCGGCCTTATCTGCAGAACCCGGTCAATGTCCACTTCTCTTTACTCTCTGCCTGACTCCGGCCTGGCTGAGTACAAGAGCTCAGAAGGGACAAAATCCCCTTCTGAACTTCTCTCTACTAGATGATGGCTCAAGGTTGAGTTGGGGAGTTGCTGGGTAGGTGACAGGCGTCCTTGAAGGGTTTTGTGTGGGAGAGCAACACACTGGATTTGTATTCTATAGGAAACCCAGAGCATTGAGGCGACTAACTAGCCAGGATGACTCAGCTAGTTAGTGGCAGAATTAAAACCCTGGTTTTCTGATTGAAGTTCAACTCTCTTTACAACAGCTAAGTCTATAGAACTGTGAAGACTGTCCATTAGCCTAGAGGGAAGGGGAGGAAAGACTGATACCTCACTTGAGGGATCTGCCTGGCTAATTCCCTCAAATCCGAATCTGCAGAGCTACGGCTAAGAGCAATCTCACTTCTGTAATTTGCCTAGCACACTGTTCTTGGCCCATGCCCAAGGTCACAAGGCTAGTGGGAGGCGCCCATGGGCCTTGGAAACAGGAGGCCTAGTCCTAGTCCAGAGTCCTCGGGTGGTGCAAACGGTTAACATGCTTGGCTGCTAACTGAAAGGTTGGCAGTTTGAGTCCATTCATAGGAGCCTCAGAGGAAAGGCCTGGCAACCTATTTCCAAAAAAATCAGGCATTGCAAACTCTATGGAGTGCAGTTCTACTCTGACACACATGGGGTCGCCGTGAATCGGAGTTGACTACATGGCAACTGGTATTGGAAAGTTCTAGCCTAGCTGGGCCACTACCAGCTGTGAACACCTGGGCCAGTCCCTTTACCTCTGTTAA